ACACACACAACAGCTCACATGGGGAATGCAGGGAGGGAACAGGAAAGAGCGATAGGAGGGATGAGAGAAAACATACAAGCGGGAATTCTTTCTCTTTACAAAGTATAATCTATGGCTTTAATCTCCCTCTGCCTGTTAACTCTCCGAAGCCCTGCTTCTCAAATCTCGGACTTTTTTTCTACTTGTCTGCAAAAAGCTTGGTCCAGCAGATAGCTGCACAGATGAACACACACGCAAACGCACATTTATATAAACGAGGGCAGGCGTACGTATTTGCAACACGGAGGGAGTCTAAAGCTGGTTGGCATCAACATCTAACCACGATGACAGACTGACAGCACTGAACGAAGCGTTTCCTCTGCAAACGCAGTCACCAACACGAACCACATCATACCTTTTGTTGCCCCTTTTTCCGCCTCTCTGGTGCTCGCTCCCCTCAGGGCATCCTTGTCCTATCATCCCCCTCAAGTTAACAGATTATTTCTGGGTGTCCGGTAAGTCCCGGCCAGCGGTCTCTACAGCCGGGGCGAGCGCGCCGCAGAGGAACGGGGACGCTCGGTCTGTCCGCACCGAAGCTCCGCGATGTGCACGAGTTATCTCCCACCCTGTTGTTTCACTCTGAGCTCCGCTGTGGTTAATGTGTTTGGAGTGTGTGTGTGTGTGTGTGTGTATGTGGAAGAGAGAGAGAGAGAGTGTGTGTGTGTGTGCCAGAGAGGGGCTAACCTCGAATAAAGTCCAGTTTTTCCCTCTCCAGCGTCCTTTCGCTCTCACTTCTCGCTGTCAGCCAACAACCAAACGTCAACTTCGCTACTTCAACTCCAAAACGTCATGTCATAACGTTAATACTACACAGTCTCTTCCTCTCTCTCTCTCACTCTTTCTCCTCAAAAGAGGTCCGTGTCTCTCCCTCAGCGCAAAACAGCGGCAATAGGTGCGACTAATCTCTATTTCCACCTCGCTTTGTCCCCCAAGTCCTCAGGGCGCCTCCGTCTTTTTAAATAAACCAACTGTGTTCAGTAACGGTTTGACAGGTGTCGCCTCCAGCGCACGTTGTGTCCTCCTCCTCCTTCGCCTCCTCTTCTTCATCATCTAGAGCCGAGACTGCGCGTGATGTTGTTTTCTGTTGGTGTGTGTGTGTGTGTGTGTGTGTGTGGGGGGGGGGGACTCTTTACAGCGTACAGCGGCTCTCTGAGCTCCGTTACAGGGGTTCAGGAGGTCGCAACGGTCCAGCAATTACCGACAACTCACCACGCATTAGAGTGACAGGTGCACAGACACACACCCACGCACACACCCACACACTCACACACAGGCTACACAAAGCACCGGAGACTTTAGCTGTTGGGGCTTTGGGGGCCCCCTTAGATGGAAAATGAGTGGATTAAAGCCCTCGAGGAAAAGGAAGGAGAGAGGTTTCTCACACTTGAGAAAATGAAGTAATACATATTATTTATATAAGTCTGAGCTTTAATTTGACCCTAATCATAAACATAGAGTCACTGGCATCATTGTGTGTCAGGACGAGTCAAAGGCAGGGGTCCTTGAGGCATAATGACTGTGAATCAGCTCGGGGTTAAATTAATTCTGATGTGTTTTCTGACTCTGTGACCAGTGAGTTTTATTTTCCTAAGAGGCACACCTCACAATTAATTTGCATTTATTACCTTTGTGCTGTTTGCTCACTGAGGAGTCGCCACAGCTTAGGCTTTTATTGAATGCGAACACAGCAATTTTAAATGTTGCTTTCCCTGACAGAAGTTGATCATGCCAGACCGAGGTGCAAACATTGGCACACCTCTGTCCTCTTCAATCACGCACCCACCCACACACTCTGCAGCTCATCTGCACACAGAGCATCTGTACAGGGCCTGTGTGGGCCCCTTGGGGCTCCAGGTGCAGGTGCAGCTACACCACCAGCACCCTCTGGCGCTGTTCCAGAGATGCGGTAGTAGGACTTAGTCTGATTCATTTTGAAAGACTCTCATAGTCAGACTCATGGAAACAATCAGAGGGACTGGGGCAGATTTCCCTAGCAGTTATTTTATCTGCTTAAAAAATGTTATTTTAGAGTGTGTCTGCTCTAATCTACCACTGTGTCATACTGTATATTTGACCCACACAGTGCAACCCTGAAAAACGTCTTGATTTCCATAATACTATTATTATATGTTTTTAATGTCATCTCTTGAGACTGTGTACCCGAACACTGATGTTCTTAATCAATACACGAGTCCATCACAGCGAGCCATTGCTAACCAAACCTTGACACCCATCATGGCCACACAAACGCCAAAAAAACCCAATTTTACCCTCACATTAGTAAAAGTCTAATCATAACATAAGTACTACTAAATTAATTATTTGGAAAAGTGTAAGTTGTGTTTTTCTGCCTGTGAGAACAAAACCGTTTACAATCAAAATCTCTGTGCAGGAGGCGCTAACAGAAACCAATCAGGAAATGAGCAAACGAACGTGCCATGAAACTATCAGTTGCTATAGGGAACAATGAGTATTCCCTGACCGATTGCAAGTGGTTACTGGACGTTACTGGCTGTTGCTGTTGAATTGATTTCTAACCCATATTCATGTAGGCCAAAAGACCGGTCAGTGACCTCATGGTTACCACTGGTATTTTGTATTCCAGACCAGTTGTTAAATGATTGCAGGAGGTTGCTGATTGTCGCTAAAAGAAAGACCTATATGGTCCTGCATCGGAAACCTTGTGATTGCAGCATAATTTGTATTGAAGATGCCAACTTGTCTGCAAACAGTTGCCAAGTGGTTGTGAAAGTACAATGCAAACTGCAAATGGACAATATTTGCCTTCCAAGTACATGTTTGGCATTTTGAAACACAGTGATGTAATAAGGTACAACTTTTATTTTGAATGCAAAGTGTTTCAGTCGAGTGTTTGCAGACCTGTCGGCGTCTTTAATGGAAACCATGAGCAGTTGCCAAGTTGCAATCTGATATGCAACCAAAGCAGCTATACCCGAGAACAACTATCAATCGCCCACAATCAGTCGACTTATTAGATGACACACATTTATCGTAGAAACCAGAGGTTGTCAGAGGATCACCGACTGGTCTCTAGGCTTGTGTGGCTGAATTTGTGTAGACCCCTGAAGGTATTTATCCATAATAGATATTATAGCGTCATCATAATCTAGCAACCATATATCAGCAGGCTTTAGCATTTATGCACTTGTAACACTTTATAAAACAGTTGATCATTCTAATTCAATTACATCTAATTTAGCAAATATTATTAAATACTTCATATGTCTAAATTGTCATGCTTACAGTGTCAGTATCACTTACATCATGTGATATGATAATTTATGAAGTCAAGTGTACTGTAATTATGGAGTGTAGCAGTCTCTAGTAATGGTCGTACTTATATATTCCTTCTGTTTGTGCTCTAAATGAGGCAGTGGGACGTGATGCCGGATAATTATTGCTTAGCTATTTAAGTAGTCTGGTACTATAATAATGCTAACATTTGACATTTTATGCAGTTTTATTTATTTTTCCACATATAGTATAAGCAAAATATTAGGATAAAGGAAAGTGTACAATATTGTAAGTCCACTTGTGGATAGACGCGTTGTGTATGTTTGAAACATCCACATTTAGCAATCCAGTTCTATATATTCTTCCCCCTGTCTTAATACAACAGTGTAATGTTGACTGATTTATCATTCTCATTCTGTTTTATATTGTCATATAAAGGAGCTTGAACCTGACTTGAGAACCTGAAGTGCAATACAGTTCAGTTCAGTTCAGTTCATCCTGCTACGTTTACAAAGATTACCCTTGGTTGTATTGATCTACATCAGGGTGTTTCTTATTGTGTTTTTTCCCCCTCTCATTTTTGTTGAAAATGTTCTTAAATAGAGGGAACTTATTAAAATCAGGTTACTGTTTTTTCTGTTTGTTTTATGGCATTTGTAATAAGAAAAATTGAGTTATTCCTGCAGGAACTATTACTGTGTCTGTGGTAAATCACTGTAATTTATGGTGGATTTATCCCTCGTGGTATCTGTTTAACACCCCCGTTCAGGCAATTATTGTCTTAAGTAAAAGTAGGTTAAAGGATTAGCTGCATGTTCCCCTTCAAATATTAAAAAACCAAAAAAGTTGTAGCCACAAATGGCAAACAAAATGGCCCAGATTATACCAAAACAAATGATACACAATCATTTCAACTCACTGATATGTAGATTTGGCATGATTGATGAAATTGCTCTCTGCATAATAAAAATTGCATTAGCAGCTGCTTAATGCTTAATACTTAAAATCTGAATATTATCAATATTTACCAGTGCAATTTCTGCACCAATAATTGTTGGTTTGTTGTGCAATATTGTGGTCATTCTGCACTGGCTTAGCCAATCAATACTTAAATGCTCATCTCTGATTGTTTAGACCACAAAAAGCAAAACAAACCACTCTTCTTCTTCAGGCTTCCCTCAGTCTCATTGTACAGACTTTGCATTGCCTCCTGCGTGACACATTTGCATGTTGGTTATATTCAGAATGGGTTCCCTGTATGTTCATGCTAATAGCAGTGATGGCAAGCTCAGTAATTTTCTGAGAGCACTACTAAAGATGATATCAGCCTGTCAAGTCAGACAAAGCCTTGAGCCAGTATTATCTACTGTGCAATAATTTTAATCTAAAGGGGACCATAATTTATAAAAAAAAATAACATTGCGCTGTATTACATAAGATTTGACACTAGTGAATGACACGAGAAACACGTGAGCAAAGTGTTTGCTGAGGTTATATATAAGAAGTTGGGAAGCTTTTCATAGACCTCTAGTATCGCCCCCTGCTGGCCATTAGAAAAAATAATATTTAAGGCATTTCCACATTGGCCTCACTTTTCAGTAAGAGGCTACATCTCTTCAGTAGAGATTAAAATATAAAATACTGAATTTAGTAATTAAGCATTTATGGTATAAAATAGTGTAAAATGATAACAAATGGCTTTGTGCAAACTGGAAAAAGCCCAAATTTATGATTTACTTGCACAGTCTCACCAGAAGCAAGAAAGCAAAACTGGATCAACAGATGTTCTCTTAATTAATTCAAAGATCATTTTAGAATGATAAAATATAAATATTTTGCCAAGCATGCAATGCACTCTCTATGGTAAAGGCAAAAAAGAGCTTTCTCTGCATCATTTATCTTCGCCTGTTGTTAATGTTGCCTCACTGATTGCAGGCATTTGAATTTCTACTGTAAAGTTGTTGAGGAAGTACGCGGGCTGTTGCCAGCCGTTATAGTAACTGTAGTCAGAGGAGGATTTACGACAAAAAAATGTAAAGTACCCTTAAATACTTCTACCCTTCAGCTGGCCATTTCCCCAATGCATTACTGCTCATTTGCATAAAGTTGAACTCTGGTCAACTTCCTCCGTTTCCAAGTAATCTGAGAAACCTGCTCTTGTCACGCTTCATCTTATCATTAATTTAAAGTTACCAGCTGCTTCATGTCATATCGCCACTGCAAGTGTGAACTATGGTAAGAATGCACAAGCAATTAGCAGTGTTGGGATCCTCACTTATAAATCTATGTTAACACTACATCAGTGCGTACAAATGCACATTTTGGAGTAAGGTGTTTGTTACACACAGGTGGGAACAAGACTTTGTG